GGGGGACCACAGTTTCTTCTTACCTTCCTTTTGGCTAATCAATTCCAGGAGATTGCCTCAGGTGTGTCTGTAAAATGCAATGTAAATGAAACATGCATGGACATTGGAAATAATTTGTCTAAAAATTGTGTATTAAAGTGTTCAAACAAACTTTGGCACAAGCTTAAAGCATGCCAGTTAGCACTTTCCCAAACAATTCCTGTGCACAGTTTGGAAGTTAGTGTGAGTCAGGAACCATTCCCAATATATGCATGTGACTATCCTGTTCTGAAGAATAGAAGGGTTTAATAATACAAGCATAAAACATCATGTGGTTACCAGCCCTAATGCCAGAGAACAGTCCTAGACATGTTTAACCTGTTCTTTTATATGTAGCCATTGAATCTTTTGGCTGAGGTAGTTAACACTTCAGTATCTGAAGAACAGAAAAGTTCTGCTTTCTTTCAAAGAAGCAGTTTTTAAAAGCCTGAGCCCAAGAAGCTTTTTAAACCTACATGATATAGATAAGCATATCTCAGTCTTAAGTATTCTTTTTACTGGCAAGTTCATTAAAAATGGAGTGGCAAGGCATCTGAAGTATGTTATGATATTCTCAGATTTCTTTAATCCATGCAAGTTTCGTGATTTTCATCTTGTGCTGAATACAATGGTCCTTAATTTTCAACTTCTGTGCTTTGCCAGAAGATGAATGTCCACATTTAGTTGCTGGCCTATGAAACTCTGTATTGATTTAGTTTTACATCTTAAAAAGTGGAGAGAAAAAAAAGCCTGAATGTTTTTATATTTATCTCTTAAAATTATCCACAGTGGTCCTCAAGAACCCTCTTAAATGAAATCGCACAGGATTTCTTATGTAGCTAACATGCAATACTGGAATGACACCCACTTCCTTTCTGAAGTTCAGCAATGGTGAATCCACAGGAAAGAACCTAAAGAGCATCTTTGGCCAGATTTCAGATTACTTGCTATGACAGTGTGTAACTGATCATTTATCTTCCCTACAAAATCAAGGGGTTTATGTTATTAAGTCTGTTCTTATGGCCCTAATATGACAATACTGGGACAGTCTACTTGTCCAGCAGTCTATCACTCTGTTTTATTTATTATGCATGTTTTATAGTCTAAATTAGGTGTTTTATATTATCTTTAACTTTATTCAAAATCCTTAGTGCCTTGCATAATCAAAATCTTACTTCAGCATTCAAGTGAAAGTACAAAAGTTTTGTCTTCTGTCTTTTGTTCCCCATAGAAACAATTATATATTTTAATAGATATACCTGCCATAGACTTCATATCCTATACAAACAGAAGCACATTCTTAACGTGGTAGAGATAATGCAAGTTTGTAATTTAGAAAAAAAAAAAGTATTATTTAATTTAATGTTAATTTTTTTCTAGTAAATTAAGCTAAATAATTAAAAGAAGGAAAAAATATTACCTCTACCTGGCTTATCAGGAAGAAACTCCTAAATCAGTAGTTCCTGTGAAGCTGTAAGCTTACAGCAAGTAAGAGTACAAATATTTTACTCCTCAGTCTCCAGGCTTCCTTGGCTTATTATTTAACCTGTACCACTGAAGACCTCATGTATAGTTTTCTTACTTTGCACAATGAATATTTCGCAGTGAATCAATTACATGGTGCTCTTATTTGCTCCTGTGAACTAAAGTCAATGCAAGGAACATAACTTTATATTAATTGTCATACAGAATACGTTATTACATTCTTCCTGTGCATTGTTGTGGTCCAGCCTTAAACACCAGATTCCAAGTAATTTGAATATTTAAATTTAGGATGATGGCTAATGATTGCATTACTGTATTACCTTCAGATAACAAGCTCCCACTTTTTATAGGGAAGTTCTTTTAAATTATTGAGAAAATATAAAAAATATACATCTTAATTTTTAAAATTATTTTACTGACATATCATTTATTTTAAAAATCTAGCTAGAAATACATACTACCTGCAAATTACTAAAAGGTAAACATAACAATGTATGTATCCCATTAACAACTTAAAATGACATGTACCTGAATGTTATAAGGGCCCTTAAAGATATAGAAATGGAAAAGTACAATACATTTTACAGAAAAAAAATCCAAATTACAATAAACACATCTAAGAAAACAATCACATCTAAGTAAAAGTTGTATTTTTACTCCAGTATTACATGCTGTCCATAATTTATGAAACTGAATAACAACATGTAGCAGTCAGGGAAGTTTTACATCAGAGTGAAGAGGGCAAGGAGGTCTCTTCTCTAATTTCGACAGTATACACACAAGTACTATCTTTGCATCTGGAAGGCTTATCTCAGCATGCAGTTGTAAACAGCAGCAAGAGGCATACTTACAGCTTTCCATATATTTTGTGAAAATTGCTTGAGAAATATGTTTTTAAAAGTTTTTAATTTCTGCCTTTTGAATTAGAATACTCTTTGAAGAACAACAAACCAGTCTCAGAATAACAGACTGTGTAAACAGTGTAAATTTGTGGGAACACAGTCAGTGGTTTGGGGCAAAAGACACATTCTGTCTTGACATCAAAAGGAGCAGGATTAGGTTCTAAAGCTTTACCCTGATACTTGCAGTTCATTTTCTGGACTATGTAGGTGTGGATTTGTCAGGGGAATTCAGGGAGCTCTGCCCTCCTCCACACTGCGACCAGCTTTGTTCAGGCAGTGTGTGCTCAGTGTGCCACAGTCAGGGCTGCATGACTGCATAGCTCCTCCCATACAGAATAGGACTATCTCCACCCCATGACTAAGGCCTGGAACAGAAATAAGGTTTTTAAAGGATCTCACAGTAGTTTTCAGGTAATCTGAAATACTTGATTTATTACTTTTTCTGGCCATTTCAGGCAGAATGAAGTGAACCCTGTGCATACTGAAGTATTTTTAGGAACATAGTGAGCCTCTATTCTGCAATGAATTTTGAAGAGGAATAAAAGGAATCCCTTGTCTAAATGCAGTCAAATAATTTGATCTTTCATTTTAAAAGATGGATTACAGTAATATCTAATGGAATAAAAAATATTTAATTTCCTTTAAGGAAAAAGCAATTCTGATTTGCCCATGTGTGTTACACATGACCTTCTAAAAGAACTAACGGCTTGAATTAGTTGTTTTCATGTGCAGGTAATACAAAATAGTACTCAAGTAAAATAGCCATTTCTACAGATTCTTGTAGTTGAAAAGTATTATAAAAGCCTAAAATGGTCGAGTGACACTCTCACTGAAACCGTATTCAAATAGGTGTTGTGTCTTAGGTACCATAATGTTTGTACTGTCTAAATCATGTTTGACAATTGAAAATTAAAATTTTAGTATTTCCATTTTATTTACACATTAATTCACCAATTGAGAAAAAAATATTTATATAAATAAACTACTAGAATCACAGACTCCATCAACATGAATTGGTAGAAGTAGATTGAAGTAGTATTCCTGGGCTAACTTTGTAATTTTAGAAATACATTTTCCTGAGAATTCATAGATGTGTAAGTACACACATATATGGGTATGTGAACTCCAAGATAGGTAAGTCATTAAATTTAATTTATTACCAAGAGAAGGTAAATAGTTTCCCCCTTGAGTTACAGAGTTGCAACATATTAAATTAAGTGCAAAGACCTAAGAACACACACACTTCATTTGCAAACCAACTATTTCCCTTTATTTCACATGGATAACTTCACGTTGTAAATACATAAACGATTATAGGATTGGGGCCTTTTATATCAACAGGAACAAAGGTATGGAATACATTTTTTGCTCTGTCTCCATTCATATGAGCCAGTAGATATTAGTATTTCTGGTACTTAATTTCCATATTTTCTATGCCATCTTCATTTATGTACTCTCAAAAAACCCCACAAACACTTGTAAAATGAAGTTTGCTTCATCCAAAATTACAAATTTACTAGCAGTTTAAGCTTGAGAGGCATTTAAAATCTGTACTAAAGACAGAGTGCTATTCAGAAAATCCTAAGCGTTGGAAAGATTTAAGTGCATTGGTGTAAGATATTATCCCTTTGTGCAAATAACATCCATCCAGCGCTGAAAGGGTGTGTTTATATGTCACAGGGCATTAACAGCTGTGTCCAGCTGAATCCTGAAGTCGACAGACAAGCATTGCTTCCTCTAGAAATGAAGGGATTTTTGTCCAAGTACTGAACAGCAAAACGACATTAAGTGAGTACTAAAAGATATAGTGAATTAATCGGATATAAATACTCCTTCATTCTTATCCTGTGCTATCATTATTCAGTTTTACCTGTACAGCGGAACACCAGAAAGTCTTTCAGCTTAGAACATTCTCCAAACACTCCTTCACAACACACAATTAAAATATTTCCAGTAAATCTGGTGGCGGTGGAGCATCAACCTCCAGCGAAGGACATTTCACCTGGACATCAATATTGTCCCCTATCCAAAAAGGTTGTTTTTGAAAGCCACTCCCGTTCGGTATGTCCACTTGAAAATTCCCTCGCCCCGGCAACGCTTTCAGCCGCGGGTGTTTCGGTTCCTGCAGCGCGGCCTCACATCCAGAGAGACTGACATGAGCGGCAACAGTAACTCCAGCGAGTGTCCCACCCGCTGGGGCTGCCGCCTTTGAGGGTTCACGTTAAGGCGCCTTTCCAGGTCTGCCTCCCGCGAGAGGCATATTGCAGTCTTCCTCCTCCTCCTCCCCACCATCCTTGGGCAAGACAAAAAATAATCACCGAAACGTGTGGCTTTTTTTCCAACGGTCCTTTCTTCACAAATCCTCTCAGCGCAGGCTTAAGCGTAAACTTCGGTCTCGTTCCGCGCAGCAAGAGAGGGGGAAAAAAAAAAAAAAAAAAAAAAGAAAAAAAAAAAAAAAAAAAAAAGGGAAAGAGAAACTCGTTCGGCAGCCGGAGGGGTGGGGAGAGGGAGAGCAGAGCAGCCACGCAGCGGAGGCTCTGCCGGGCGAGGCCAGGGAGCCGCTCCAGCTGCGGCGGCGGAAGCGGCGCTGGTGGAGCGAGGGAGCGATCGGGCGAGGAGGAGGCAGCGGAGGGAAGGGAAGGGAAGGGGGAGGCTGCTGGTGTTTGGCGCCGGTGGAGGGAGTCATTCCTGCCGCTGCACTTCCGGTCGGCATTTTGTTCTGAGAGGGAGCGAGAGAGACACACACAGGTTCCTTCCCCTCCTCCTCCTCGCCCTTCTCTCCCCCTGCCCCCCCGCTCGGTACCGACTCACCGTGCCCAGGCCGCCCCTCCCCGCCCTCCTGCTCTCGCACTCTCGGAGGGAGCGGCGGCGGCGGCGGCCCCTTGGCAGCGCTGCCCCCCGGCCACCCCCCGCTCCCCCCCCGCTCGGAGCGCGGCTCGGAACCGGTTCGGCGCGGCCCGGCCCGTGTTGATGTTGTGAAGGAGGCTCGGGGGGAAGGGATTTGCCTCGGCCGCACACCCCCCGGCTCTACATGTTCGCTGCACTGAGGAGGAGACGGAAGAGGAGCCAGCCCCCCTCCCGGCCCGGATTATTGTTGTTATATTATCTCCCCTCCTCCTCTTGCTCCGCGGCGGCGGCGGCGGCCCAGCGGCGGCGGCGGCTCCTCTGAGGAGGGAGGGGGGCGGATTTCTCTCCCCCTCACTCGGATTCTCGTTGGATTCAGACGCCGATTTGCTCAGGTAATCCCCCCTCCTTGTCTCCCCTTCCCCTCCCTGCCCTCTCCAGCAGCGGGCCGGGCCTCCCAGCCTAGCGGCCCAGCACTGCCGGGAGCAGAGGGGATTAGCTGTTACCCGGGGTACAGGGGAGTAAGTGGCAACCGGAGGTGTTTATTTCGCAGCCCCCCTTCCTGCTCGCTCGGGTCTGCCGGAGGAGGTTGGTTCCTGCCGGGCTGCCGGAAGGCCCAGGCCCGGCGGAGGGCGCAGGCCCGCCGGCCAGCGCCTTTACTCCAGCTCGGGGATTAGAAAGGCGAAGCGGCTGCTCAGTGACAGGCCTCAACCCGAGAGGAGCAGAAGGAGGAGGAGGAAACAATACAATTAGTCACAAATGTGCACTGATGCTTTGCCATATTTACAACTTCATGTAGGGCAAGGAAGGAAGGTCCCAGCGCAGACAACCCTCTGAAGTGGGCCAGGACTAAGTGGAGGAATAGGGGAAGAGAGACAATGTAAATACCCTGGAACAAAAATATCACCTCTCTTCACTGTTACCTTCTCGTTCTAACCACCTGTGTTCTGAACATTCAGAAGTTTGAATGCTTTTGATTTTATAATGTGCAGATGTTTAATCTCTAAATAATATTATTGATTAGTGTTTTAATAACTTAGTATATTTATAGCATAAAATAGTGCTTCAGGGGTGATTGACACAACACGGACACCTGCAGACCCAGGAAATACAGATAGACAGGCATATTGTATCAGGTACTCCACACACAATCTCAGTGTCTGTGTGCTGTATACATTACAGGAATATATATTAAATTTATAAGGAATACTATTTTCTGTTTCTAACAAACAGACAACAGGCAAGGGATTGTGTAAAGTGCTGCGTTTATGACGTTTAAGGGACCAAGGTGAAGATGAGATCTTACCCAAAGTACTTGAGAATCAAACGTAAATTTAATTAAGTGAAAAGAGAGGAATGCTTAAAAAGTGTCATCCTTTCTTGTTAGGCTGTATCACTTTGAGATCCCAAGGTTGTTATTGGCTGTTTGTGTCCATGATGTTTGAATGTGTAAGTAGGTGTCATTTTAATAGGTCAAATGTGTTTTGAAAATGACTGTTGATTAATGTCAGGTCTTTATAAATAAATGGTAGGTGATTTACAATAAAGTAAATTTTGGACCTGTAAGTGGTAGAGTTGTGGGTGTTACTGAAAACTGAGGTAGATTTAAAACAAACACGCTATAAACCAATAAAAATACTCCTCCAGAAATTACATAACTGCAGGAAATTTTAAGATACAAAGTTTTCATCTTTCACTTAGAAAGGAATTTTGTAAATGGCTAACAAGTATCGACATTACACGATTTGTCCATTTTTCAGCAGGTTTTTTAGTTGTTCAGGTAGATTTGTTGTGGTAGTACATGGTTACCGTATCTAATTGAGTAACTTTCTAGTACATTGTGTTAAGAGACTTATAAATAAAACTGTGCTATGGTGCCTCCCGCGTGTCCTGATACATGTTTAAAAGGGTCAAGTTAATATAGCTGTCACGTAGAAGGCGTGTTTTTAATGCTGTAAATCCGTGTAGTAGTCAGTAGCGTGTCCGTGATTTGTATTGGTCAGGGAGCAGTTTGAATTTTAAAAAGCCAGAAGATCCTGCTGAGCCCCAATCCCGGCCTCCCTTCCTCCCACTAATCTCCCATTCCTGTCTTTGTGCTGCCTGGTCCTGTTAGACACTGTTTGCAACAGGGCCTCAGGCCTACGTGCGTGGAGAGGAACCATTTACACTTAGAAAAAAGCAGCTTTTTATTTTTAAACTTTGTGAATTGCAGAGGGAGCCACTAGTAGTCTCTAACTGTCCCCACCTCAGTGTGTAGCAGCGGAACTGGTCTTTTCTTTTGGCCTGTAGCGTGTGTGAAGGCCGAGTGTAACTCAGCTTTATAGGGAAGAAAGGACTGTGCAGAAGTAGTTGTAGTTCTTGGGTAGTTTTCATCATCAGGAAGCGACATCAGCTCTAGCATTTTTTTCATCTCTGTTTCAGGCAGCTCCCGTTCTAACAAAAATGGGTTTGTTAAGCTAACAGTAGTGAACTTTTCTGACTTATTTTTATTTGGGAAGGTTTGCTTTAAATATACCAGATATGAGCAGGAAATGAGCTACTGTAGTTACATAGTTCCTGTCAAGTTTATCTTGCCTAGGTTGTGTGGTTGTGTTTACAGCACCTTTTTTTTTTTTTTTTTTTTTTTTAATCAGAACGCATGCAGTTTTCTGGAACGAAAAAGAGGTGTATTTATAAAAGGAAATATAAGATGTCTATTTTTGTTTGCAATGAGGGTTTTTTTTTTTTGTGAGCTGTATATGATTAACCCTGAATTACTTGCTTTATCACAATGTATGTAGTTTTACAGAAATATTTAATGTTGAAATATTCACAAGAGGAGTTATTTTTCTTTTAGATTGTGTTTAAGAGATTTAAGAGAGTGTGTGCATGTGTGTGTATGAAGCAGGCCTGTGGCACTTCCACACTACTTTTCCCTTGATGTTAAGAGTTTATACTGGTCCATTGTTTATCACAACAGCTAGCTGCTTAAAGGAGATGTAGTTACTTTGTTGATGTTCTAAAAATACAAAATTAATTATTCTCAAGATGTTAGTTGTAACAATTATTTTAACAAAAAGAGGAAAATGCTTCTTACTACCTTTTATTTTGTACTTTTGGCTACCTTGTATGTTTTGAATTGTTTCCTGTCCATTTCTTAAGTATTTTACCTGAAGTTATTAAAAAAAAAAATTTCCCTGAAGTCTATTGCTGTCAATAAAAGATAGTTCTGTATTTTTTATAAATAAAGGAGGAACAGACATACCATTAAAATAATTTTATTTTTTTACATTTGAAATGTTAAAATTTTGATTTAAGAGCAACAGAACAGTAACTAAAGAGAAAAAAATACACTTTTATCCTGAATATTTAGACCTAAGAAAGAAATCAAGTCTTCAAATTCTCAAATTTATGATTTCTAGAAATTATTTTACAGGCATGTATACTATTAATGAATGTACACAAATACGCTTGGACGAAAATTATGGGCATATTTAATTGGAAAAATATCAGTGTGATAGCTTCAGAATCTGGTTCTGGTAGGTATGAGGTAGGTCATCAAGCATTAAGCTATTCAGTGTCACAAAACAGTTCACTAGAAATATTTAATGTTTGAAAGAATGGCCATTTCAGTGTCATACCACTTTTTGATCTTGTTTTTCATATACCTTTATTAAAAGTAGTACAGGTGGGTTAGCTTCTGATTTTGACCCATCAGAAGTAATGAGCACTCTGTGGCACAGAGATACCTACAAGGAAATGCTCGAAACTGGTGATACCTGTGTAGTGTTGCTAATAACTGTACAATAATTCTAATAATAAAAAAAGAAGTACTTTTGAAATTACAATTGTTAAAGGCTCGTATTCTAAAAATCTTTGATATGATTAGTCTGTATTTGTGTTTTTAGTTTTTTTGTATTACAAACATACTTCTGATCCTGACCCCCAAAGTAAGTGTGAGAAAAGTGCTTTGTATTGACATCTGTGACACCCCAGAAGTGAGGAAATTGTGTTTGAGGAGATTGTGCAGGACCTGTGATTTGTGTCTCACTTCCTGTCCCTTTTGTTAACTATGGAACACCTCACTGGCAAAAGGCAGGAGAGAAAGGATTTTGGCCCAACTGTTTGTGGAAACTAAAAGGGATTCCAGTCAGATTGAACATGGTTGTTGATATTGTATTGGTGATAATTAAAAAAAAAAATAAACATTCAAGACTGGTTTTCATGTTAAAGTCAGGAAGAAATCATAGAAAAAGTTAATTTTTACGGCCTCTAGAGTTTTTATCAGTTGGTTTTAATTGTTTTTTCCAATCAGAGATCTCTAAATTCTTTATATGAGTAGATATTTTTTTGGTTTGTTGCTGTGATTTGCCTTGAAGCACTTCAGGTTTTTTGTGTGTGTGTGTGTGTGTAGAATGCAATACATTTTAGAGGAGCAGTGTCAGAAAGTGCTGGGCTGCAAAGTGAGGGAGTCAGACAAGGAAACAGCAGACAAGGAGCTGGGCCTTTAACTGCACCATTATGTTCAACCCTCCCTCACAGCCCCAGCTCAATGCCTCATACAGAGCCTGGGAAATACCAGCTGACTGGGATGCTGTTATAACATGTATGTTTGCCATTCATTGTGCAGCCTGCTGCTCTGTTACATGGTGTACACATACAGTCCTTTCATGAAGGCTAAGTGTTTTCATATTTTAATTTCTAGAGTTATCTCAGTATAAAACACTTAGCAGTCATTAGAGAGCTTTATTACTGCACATCTGTAAAATATTATTTCCATTTTGTAGATGAAAAACTGAAACTGAATCAAATTAGTGAGTTTTAAAAACTTATAAATCTGTGTATTTTTACTTGTTTTTTTTTCCCCAGCTTTTTAGAGTTACTTTATAGCACTTAGGAAGTTCATAACACTATTTTTCTTGACTTTATTTGTGATTGTGTGAATGCTACATTTCAACATGTTAGGTTCATTGTTTCTCCTTCTGAACCCCTTAAAAGTATAGGATGGGTTTTTGCTGATGGCCTTAAACATCTATTAAATTTCAACTGTCTTGATCATGCCAACAACTGGAAAAGAATAGATTTCCTGTTCTGGAAACCTAAAAAAAAAAAGATACTTCATATTGTGAAGAACCCAAAATCTCTTAAAGTTTATCAGGGAGAACAGAGACAACAACTAGATTATAACCCAAATCCAGAAAATGATTAAATGTGTTGGCTACAATATTACACACAGGAATTCAAAATCTTACTGTTGCTATCCAGGATTCTTCATTCCTGCTGGAACTTATCCTGAGCCTTGTTTTTTGGCTCTTGGGGATTAAAGTCTGCCTCTTAACCTCATAATTATTGCAGCTGATGTAAACTGCTTGAACACAAACCTCTGCACCTAGTGGTCAGACCACTTCACTGCCAT